AAATAATAAATAAAATATTTCAAAAAAAAAAAAGGATTTTACTTATTTATTTGAGAGAGAGTGAGAGAAAGAGAACACAGAGGGAGAGAGCAGAAAAGGAGAGGGACAAGCAGACACCCCTCCCCGCTGAGCAGGGAGACCAACACAGGGCTCAATCCCAGGACCCCGAGATCATGACCTGGGCCAAAGGCAGACGCTTAACCAACTAAGTCACCCAGGTGCCCCAGAAATTGAACCCCAACCTGGAAGGTCAACCTTGAAGGACAGACAGCATGTTCCAGTCCATCTGGGACCCTCTCAGACAGCACTACAGGGATGGGAAGGCTACTACTCTGTTCTATATCATCTGTGTGGCCTGGGGCACAACGCTCCCCCTCTCTGGACCACGATTTACCCCCTGTAATGGGGGGGGACACACTGAGATGTCCTTGCACACGTAAGTTTCCAGGACATGGTGACCCCCTCCAAGATGGCCCCCAGATCTTCCCCCACTTCCAGAGGCAGCTTATGGACCTCCAGGAACCGTTCTCATTGGTATTCAAAGACCCACTGTTTCTGGGCGCCTGGGTGGCTCAGTTGGTTAGGCGACTGCCTTCGGCTCAGGTCATGATCCTGGAGTCCCGGGATCGAGTCCCGCATCGGGCTCCCTGCTCGGCGGGGAGTATGCTTCTCCTTCTGACCCTCCCCCCTCTCATGCTCTCTCTCTATCTCATTCTCTCTCTCAAATAAATAAATAAAATCTTTAAAAAAAAAAAAAAAGACCCACTGTTTCATTTCTCCCCTGGGGGAGAGAGAACCTGGGGATGGGGCAGGGTGGAGGGGGTGGAGATTTGGCAGAGGAAATTAGAAGAGATTTAACTTTGTTTCTCATTAGCTAAATGGTCCCCAGTGCATTGAGGCTTGTACATTCTACCCATTTTACAAATGAGGAAACTGAGTCCTCAGCAGGGCTCTGACCAAGACAAGTCCCCAGGAGTGCCACTTTCACGGCTCCAGGCCTTCAGAAAGGTAGTCCAGAGCTGGTCCCCTGAGTGTTCATCAGGCTGAATCTGCCAATTGGGCCAGAAAGAGAATATTTCCTGGGGCCAGGACCCAAGGGGGCCTAGGGACCCAGCCAGAAGTCAGGAGAGGACCCCAGGAGCTGAGCAGAGCCTGTGAATGTGGAGGGCTATGGAAGAGGTGCATTTCACCTGCCCCCTTCAACACACCCCTCTGTGCTAGCAGCCTGAAAGGAGGTTGGGGAGAACCCAGAGAACTCTGTTTCCAAGTTGGCTGGGCACGGGCACTAGAGAGGATACACAGCTTGCTGGGGAGACAGGGTCCACCATGGGTCAGGTCACACCAGACCACCAGGGCAGCTCAAGGAGGAGCCCTGAAAAAGAGTGGAACCAGGGGCCTTCACCACTGAAGGCAAAGCTTAGGCCATAAAGTCCAGTGGCAGGAAGGGAGGGGTTGGAAGTTCAGGGAACGAGGTGGGGAGGCCAGGAGGGCAGGTGGCAAGGGCCAGCAGACCCATGTCACACTGCCACGGCTATTCTCAGGCCTACCCCCAGGCCATAACCACCAGGGTCTCCTTCCCAGTGAAGAAAGCCCCACGACCCCAGCATAGGCCTGACGGACAGTGGCTTGGCCAAAGGAGTTGAATCCCTGCTCCCTCAGCCCCCAGGGATCATCAGCTGGCTTCCCCAAAGGGCTAACCCTGGCCTCAGCTAACCCCTCCATGAAAGCAAACTGCTTCTCCGGACTCCCAGTGGAGGGACTGGGGCCTGAGGGCAGAGCCAGGCCCCTAAGGGGCTACCATAGCTGGGCCAGGGGAGGGGAGGTGCTTTTACACTCCAAGCTGCCTGAGGCCTCTCCTGGAATCTGTCCCTCTCTCCCCCCTACTAGCCTCTGACGCTCCCACTTGGGGAATGGGGGCTGGCAGCTCTCCAGCCCATTCCACCCTTCCTTCTCAGCAGCCTCCCCTGCCCAAGGCTCTTGGACACACCAACGCTCCCTTGGCTCTTCCAGTGCCAAGTCTTGCCTGGCCCAAGACAGCCAGACTCTGCTAGGCCACAACTACTTGGGGACACCGAATCCTGGGCTTAAGCCATAGACCTGCGTTCCCAGCTACATACCCTAAAGGCGCTCTCTGTCAAATAAATACACAAAATCTTTAAAAAAAAAAAAAAAAAAAAGCCTAATCCCACTGTGTACAATCGGACACAGACACCCAGCTCCACAGACACATAGACACATAATGATTCCATCGGCTAGCATTCATTGTGCTTTTATCCATACCTCTGTGCTGAACAGCTGTGGATTTTTGTCCCCATCTTGGAAACCAGTTTAATAATTTGTCCAAGTTCCACCCTCAACACTCTGACCGGAACTGCACTCCAAACCAAAACGCTAATAGTGGTCACCAGGTGATATTTTTACTTTCCTCTTTAAAGCTTTTGTTTTGTTTTGTTTTTGTATTGCTTGAAAATTTTTAACTGAGTATGTCCTTTTTATAGAAATAATAAAGGTTTAAAACCAGGGCAGGCCTCCTACCATCTATTTTTATAAGCTGAGATATTCCTATATTACACTAGTTGAAAGTATACAATCCAGCGGTTGCTAGTACATTCATAAAGTTGTGCAACCATCACCACAATCTAACCCCAGAACATGCTCATCACTCACCAGAATAACCTCTTACATTAGCAATCACTCCCCGTGCCCTTCTCCCTCCAGTCCTTGGCAACCACTCATCTCTGTCTCTACAGATTCACCTGCTCCCTACCTTTTGCGTCTGGCCTCCTTCCCTTAGCATAACGTTTCCAAGATTCATCTAAACTGCAGCATATATCAGTATTCTTTCTTTCTTATAGCTAACATTCCATCGTATGGAGATACCACATTTTGTTTATCCATCCGTCAGTTGGGTTGTTCCCACCTTTTGGCTGTTATGAATAATGCTCCTATGAACATCTGTGTACAAGTTTTCGTGTGGACGTTTGTTTCTAATTCTCTTGAGTGTATACGCCTAGGTGTGGGATAGCTAGGTCCTATGGTAACTCTAGATTTAACTTCTTCAGGAACTGCCAGACCTGTCACCTGATTTTGAACCGAACATCAAGCCAGAGAGAGTGACCCCAGAGAATCTTAACTACATCAGTCTAGACTCAGAATATTAGCATAAAAGAAGATCCAAGAGAACAAATCCTAATTGTCCAGCAACTCTTATGGAATGCAACCTTTGCCACCTCCCCAACACACACACACACACACACACACACACACACAATCTGG